ATTAATATATTCAGCTTGTCCTATTTTTACACTGGAATTAAAGAGCAACAGTATACAAGTGCAATCGCGTTATTTTGAAATCTGTGCTCAATCTAATTCTAATACACATTTTCAAAATAGGAGACTGACCGTATTATGCCCCTTATCGTGGCATTTTAGTATAGTGTGAGGGTTTGTTACAGACTCCGAGCTGCAGTTGATCCCATAACAGGAGTTAAAAGAGCTCTGAATAGAGAAAGATTCCTTTAATTGATTTTATATTTTGCATATACTTGTTCAGAGTTTTATAAATATATCATCTAGTACATGAACCAATATCTCCAGAAGCGTACACATATACAGTACATTTTGAGCAAATATATAAAAATAAAAACGGAAGGAAATTGAATAAAGACCTAAGGCATTTTACAAGAGTCACCAAATACATTATGACATATATTTTCCTGAATTAGACAGGGATGGCCACGTCCTATCACTTCTTACTACCATTAGCCAAGGCTGATAATCTTCAACACATTTGGGCCATCATATATTGCTTACACATAGTTTGGAATCCAAGCTGCATATTGATTGATTATGCACCATCAAATCAGTCTGGATTGTTAGCGATTTTCTCCATGAAGATCTGCCCTTAACGTGGTCTTTTAGAGGTGCCTCCATCACCACCGGAGCGGAATCCAACCATCTTTCTGCTAGTGATCCTCTTCTCTTCCCTTCCACCATTCCTAGCATCAGAGTCTTCTCTAGAGAGCTGGCTCAAACATGATGTGTTTGAAGTAGGATAATTTGAGCCTGGTCGTTTATGCCTGGAATGAGAACTCAAGGGGTAGATTTGTTCGATTATTCATCTCTAACATCAATGCTTTTTCTATCCTGCTTCTTCAAAGTACAATCTTCCGTACAGAAAACCATTGGTTGCACAACTCCAATCTTGGTAGTACAGAAACATCACAGCATATGAACATTTTTACAGCTGCTCTACCAAGTGCTAAATTGTGGCATATTTCTTGATTGTTTGTTCCTTCGGTATTGATATGCAGAACTCATAGCGAGGTAAGATCAACTCAAATTCAGCAGCACTACATTACTTAACAGTATGCTTGCTTAGTTCAGTTTGTCTCAAACTTATTTTTTAATCCATGTAGCAAGCCTACTTCATTTGTAAGCAAATAAGTATGTACTCTTGTTGGCACAGAGTACCACGGTAGGGGAACATTTATATTCTAAAAGCATCACATCAGAAGTTGACTATGATCTGATAAAGAGAGGCCATCGTAAATTGAGAGCCGAGGTGGCACAGTGGTTAAATGCAGCACTGCNTTCTGCAGTTCGGCTGTTCAAATCTCACCGGCTCAGGGTTGACTCAGCCTTCCATCCTTCCGAGGTGGGTAAAATGAGAACCCGGATTGTTGGGGCCGATATGCTGACTCTGTAAACTGCTTAGAGAGGGATGAAAGCCCTATGAAGCGGTATATAAGTCTAACTGCTATTGCTATTGCTATTGTTACGCAGAGCTAGGGATTCAAACTGCAGAACTGCCGACATTTCTGATCGACAAGCCACTGATACCCTTCTCCAAATGCTGGTGTTTGGGGTGGGACGCTTATTCTGGCACGTGTTGATATAGCCCCATGTATTACTGCTGTTGGGATGTTGTTGTGATTATTTCATTACATTGATATGCTGCCCAATTCCCAGCCATTTAGGAATGATGGCAGACAGACGGGGTACTTCATAGCTTCATCCATGTGTGTGTGTGAGAGAGAGAGAGAAAGGGAGAGAGAAAGAGAGGGGGGGGATAGGGAGAGAGATTTAGCTGAAGCATCTGCTCATCTGTTTCTGAAATTTGCAAGGAAATAGTATACACTCCTGGCTGATTCATGCAATTAAATTTGCAATTTAAATATTCTTATAAGCTTGGGTGCACTTTAACTTTTAATTGTTTTTCCACTTTAATTCTAGATGACACAATCATTACTATTCTATATGTCTCCTGCATCGTTCTTATCCTGGGAATAATCCTTCTGGCTTTGTTAAAGACCAGGTAATTTTTGCAAAAGGCAGTCCTCTGTGTATTGCATTCTCCAGGTTAGGGAAGAGACTCAACCACTTTTTTCCCTCCGCATTCCTTCCTTCCCCCATCTCTAGTCATTTTTATCTATTGTTTCCAAGATGGTGACATCTTGATGGGAGCCAGTGGAAGAAACAGAGAACTAGTGGAACAACTGTATGTAAGGTTGAATAATCAAAATAAACAATAGCAATAGCAATAGCAGTAGACTTATATACCGCTTCATAGGCCTTTCAGGCCTCTCTAAGCGGTTTACAGAGAGTCAGCATATTGCCCCCAACAATCTGGGTCCTCATTTCACCCACCTCAGAAGGATGGAAGCCTGAGTCAACCTTGAGCTGGTGAGATTAGAACCGCTGAACTGCAGATAGCAGTCAGCTGAAGTGGCCTGCAGTACTGCACCCTAACCACTGCGCCACCTCGGGTATTCTGCGGGGCATTAATACTACCACTGCAGAATGGCCTAGATAAGTAGCACCTTATCGTCCTCACATATCAGATAAAATGCATTATAGCTACAATTCATGCCAATAGACCATAAATAATAATAATATATAAGAACATTTATATCGCCACTTTCCCAGAAACAGAGGCGCATTTAAGCTAACGATAAGCACCGTTTAATCCTCCTTATTTCAATGAAAGAAGATAGGCTTAATTCCCTTTTAAGAATCAATGAGACTTAAAAGGGCTTGAGAGTGACTAGATCCTGCCAGCTATCGATTTTAGCCAAGCAGAATGACGTGCTCAGGTTACCTGGTGTGTTAATGCAACACCTGTTTGTTTGTTTTCAGAGCTTGCACAGCTGCTTATCTGCCAAAGAGAGTTTCCTCCCAGATCCACTTATCAGAGACGCTCCCAAGACCTTTTATCAGAAACAACGCAACAACTCTGGATCATCCGCTGGGCCAAAAATGCTCATTCTAACTCCTGTTGTAAATTAGCCATTTTATTGTGTGGAATCTCTGCAGAGAAAGAAACCAAACCAAACCAATAATAAACCAGGAAGGGCAGAATCCATAACCATGACTGACCACTTTGGCAAACACTGGCCAATCTATAACATATATCTAGAGTTCTTTTTTCCCCTTGTAGTATTTGACCAACCAGGGATGCAGTGGTAGGATTCAGCCGGCTCGCACCTATTCGGGAGAACCGGTGGGTAACCGGTTTTCTTCGTAAACTTTCTGATACCAGCTCAGGAGCAAGTGCTACAGTTCTTAGAACCCCCAGTTTATAGAGCCAGCTGAATTGCAAATACAAACTATTCACAGACCACTAGGCTCTCTTGTCTCTGTTCTCCATAGACTTCACATCAAGAAGAAGGGAGAAATTAGGGTAGTAGCAGGTCTGTATGGAGTGTCCTTGCCAAAGACTTGGGAAATAGGACTACATTAAATAAAATTATCAACCTAGGAAGAAGACAGTCAAACCAAATATATTACCAGTATTGGATACCAATGGTGGGATTCAGCCAGTTCTCACCTATTCAGGAGAACCGGATGGTAACTTTCTAAGTAGTTCAGAGAACTGGTTGTTGGAAGAAATCTCCTTTTGTTTTTCCAAGCCCACTTTACAGGGCTAATCCTGTAAGGAAGGCAGGAAGGAAACATTCTGGTGTTGTTTCTAGCCTNAACATGCCAGGAGACACATTACTCAGAAGCAGTGTTCTTGATCATGCTGCTGTCACTCATTCCACAACCAACTTTCTAGAAGTGGCTCTGACTTTTTCCCTTGAAAATTTAATCTGATGCAAGTTACAGCTGAGGAAAAAAATATATATGTTTTTTGTGGTACAGTATAGTTTACATGATTTTGAAATCAATGAAGTTTATTTCCAGAGTATATATTTGGCATGAAACTATGAAAAGTATAGAATTTCATTATCAATGTTATTATTCTCATATTAATAATTACCTTGACTTAAATCCAAAGGTTATCTTCTTTCTCATTGAGGGAGAAAATAGATTTTTATATTTATAGAAGGCTTTGTACAAGTTCATAAGGGCTTTTGTTAACTTTTGAAGCCCTCAAGGAGTTTGAACATTTGGTAACTTTCTAGTTGTGTGCATGTAGGTGACTTTCTCGTTGTGGTGCTTGTACAGTTAGTTTCCAATTAAGTCAACAAAGCTTACTTTTGAATTGAAATGTATAGAATTGTTTTGTTAAAATATATATGCTGAAATCCATAACTTCTTTATTCCTCTGATTTCGGTACTTTAATCTTCTTTGCTTTAATTAAAACAATGGAAACTGGTGTAAAAAATAGCAAACCTATTATAACAAAAGCTTAGGCAACTTTATTAATCTGAAAGAGAAGATTTGGTTGAACAATAAATTATACCCAATAAATAGGTGCTGCTGTTATAGTTATGAAATAGTGCTCTAATGACTTTTTTCTGCAACAGATTACTAATAGGCTCTAATTTTGAATGTTGAACTTGGAAAGAGGACAGTAAACATTACACTGAAAGTGAGAAACAAGTAAAACTCATTTACTTTCCCAAGTTGAAACACAAGTCACATTTATTAAAATATGTTAAAGATAGACCATTTTTAAAGGGAAGTTCAACCCTGATATTTTTGGTTATGGAGTTTGGCTAAACCCAAGTATTAAAAGTTCCGAACAGGCTTGTTGATCTAAAAAAAAAATCAGATTCTAAAAAGCACTTAGAGAGATGCCCTGATACTTCTACTAATCATTATGTGTTCCACAAATTAAGCACACTAGTTGATTTGAAATGATCTTATTCAGCTGGGAGCAAAGTACAAAATAAGAAGCAAAGATTCTCTAGTGTACTGAGCAAATTTTCAACCAATCTCTCAGGCCTCTTATTGTTAAAAAAGCACTGCTAAATACTATAGCATGCAGTACTACTACTGTGAAATTTCCAACTCACCTTCCAGAACAGAAAATCCAGTGATATTCTTGGGTATCAACAGTGCCATTTCCTTTAAGACCATTAAAGTTGACAAATAACGACACCAACCATTTCGTAGATATATGCAGGGCCAGGCAAGAGTTTCTTCTAGGTCCTTTATTATTGTTACTTTGTTGTTTCAATTTTATAATGTTTATTCATATTTATATATTTTGTCTGCTACTCTTGTAATAGAAAAATGTGATTAAAAAGGTATGAAATACACAAATTTCAACTCTTTAATACTACATGTTTAATGAGACAAAGGTGCCTGGTTACTTTTCTAAATGAGCCAATACATTAACTCAGAGGATTTATGAATTATATAGTGATGCTTCAGTCATGAAGTAATGAGGTAGGGTTCTAAAGGCAAAAATGGCAATTACAGGTTATGCCTGATAAATACAACTGACGCTGGGGCCATGTCAGTGATGACTTTCAGAATTGGTAGAATTAGTTTGTACAAAGGAATCAATGACCAGATGATGTTGATGATAATCTTTTATAGCACAGGCCATCCTGAAAATTAAAATAAAGGACATTTTTATCCACACACCAGCAATACATCTTGTATATGATTTCATTAATTTGTTGATTTGATTAAATACATGTGCATCTATATCATCAACACCAAAAAATGAAGCTCATAAATAGTTTGCTTTGTTTTTGTTACTAGGTTTTTAATTCAGTATTGTAAATTTAATCTTTAACATTGGGCTTACCCCCTAAATCACAAAACCAAAGGAAGAAAATGGAGCCAATTGTGAACAGGGTAGGAAGGTCACCTTACCTGGTGTTAGATTAATTTTTGCTACATTTGCTACAGCATTCAACTTATTCATTTATAGTGCCTTTTGCGATTAATTAATTATCACATTTATATTGCCTCCCACCTCACACAATGCAACAATTTTCATGTGTTTTAATTTTAAAGGAGTTAAAAATTGGAAGAGGCCCAAGACAACTTTCAAGGAATAAATATTACTCTGAAGTGATGGGAATAACTGTGGATTTAATTTAATATAAAGTCCTGCCAGCATGGTCAACTGAGATTAAAAAATATAAAATGCTTCAACATAAATTTAAAATTGATGATCTAATGCACATTTGCCCCACATAGCCACTTAATATGGCAGGACTTTCTTTCATGTAAAAAATACATACTTATTGACTGTGCATCCTTACTCCATCATTTTATGCTCAGAGGTTACGCTAACCATTCCAAGACATGGGAAAAGGACTTGAGAATATTATATGCACATAGAATGGAATAAATTCAGATAAGTCTTAAACTTTTTGTACATCAGGAGATATTACAATCATATCAAATGAGTGGAATGACTTTAGCTTTCTGTTCATGTAGTAATCGACATCTAGACTGCCTGTATTTTTCTATGTTGTACAATAAAAAGTTGGAACTGAATTTATCATGGGTTGTAGCTATATATGAACCTATTTTTGTGATTGATTGTAAAAATTTTAAACATGGACAAATTGTATTGATTTTTCTTCTTCATAATTAAAGTAAAGAATGCCTCTTGCTATACCATTTTTAATGTTTATGATTTCAAGCACGGTAACTTTAGATAAGAGAGTGTCACTATTTTACTTGAAATTATTCATCAGTTATGAATAATATGTCTCATTCATTAAAGAGGACAGTTTTCAAAAACTCTACATATTTCAAATGCTTTCCTTATGGATATTTTACAACATATATATCTACAGATTTATTTAACAATTCTGGGATCTCCTTGGCCAATGCAACACTGGCTAATGAAAACATTTATACAAAAAAGTGCACAAAATGTGAATTTTGAATCCATGGAAATGAAATGTGCATTAGTCAGAGGAGGGCAACGATGGTCCTGGATCACCTTCTCTCTCTTGTCCTTTAGTCCTTTTAAATTAACGTCAAGTAAAAAGAATGGCAATCCAACTGAACCTTAACAGGAACATATATTTGGGTCCATTGAGTCGTGCTGAAGAAAAAGGTGCAACAATAAACAAGTCCCTGTACATTTACAGTCATACTTATGGGCAGAAAAGCCCTTGACATTTGTTGCTTTGGTATTAAATAGCAATTATAAAAGCTTTTAGAAATAAAGCAATACATGATGAAGATAGGGCTGGAAATCCTACAAGGCTTGGATTTCTTGTCCATTGAAATCAGTCTCATTCTTAGTCATAAATAAATAATCTCTTTCCTGGTTTCGCTTCCATGCCAGGATCAATATCTCTTAACATCTTACTTATTTTATTACTGCTCTTGGTTTTCTGGGACTGATTGAAAGTTGCTCAGAGGAAATCTTTGGTTTTGCTTAAGTGTCCGTGACATTTAATCATGACTTTCCTTGCAGTTTAATTCCAACCAGTCAATCAGTTAATCCACTTCAATTGATTCTGTGCTCTCTGTTATTGGCTTGCACTCATTGGGCATCCTCTGGTGTCGACTCAGCTGGGTGGCTTGGGTGAAGCTCCTCTCACACCTCTCGCACCTGGAAAAGGCAAGAGAGAAAATTGAGAGTGGAAAGCTGCTCCTGGGGGGCACGGGGCTTCGTCTTATCATGCCTAATCAGAACAGACACTCAAAAGTGGCTTCAGATTTTACTGGCTCAAGAGGTTTAATTGGTGGCTACTTCCAAGGCCTTGATGCCTATGATGGGACAAGGCCTGTCTGATTCAGAACAAGGGAATCTGTCAATAGACAGGGGAAGGTGATTTCTCTAGAGAGGCTTGTCCTACTGTAGCTCTGATCACTGTCAGTTCAAATAGATAAAGAACAAAAAGAGATTTTTAAGAGTGAGCCATCAAAGAAGCAGCTTGTCTGCAGTTTTCTGCTCTGTAATCCCTCGGAGAAATTGATGACAAATAGAATTTCACCTCCTGCTAATTTAAAACCAGGAATCTTACCTATTGGAACAATCATGGAACTGGGAAACAATAATCACTTTCTGTATTTCTCTGAAGTTACTGTTTAGCCAGCATGATACAAAGGAGTGTTATCGTGTTTAAAAAGAGACTTTTAAAAATATTATTATAGAATCAGTATATTGCTGAAATGACCATTGCCATCTTCTCATAGATTTAAATGATGTGCCAAAATAATGAATATCCTACAAGGATATTCATCCTTAAGATGCAGGCTTTCTGGATGAACATCTGAGGGATGTGCATAATTCAAACAAAAACAACTTCATCTCTTTTAGAGAAGAATTGATTTTCCAAACTTTGGCCCTTCAATAATTTGACTTAATATTCAGCATAGAGTGCTTAACTTGAGATCTATGAGATATAAACATTCTTTTCAATAACTTCCATCTAAGCAAATATTCTTCTACCTAGTGCCCTCTCAATAATTCAACTCTTACAATTTTACCCCCAGGTTTATAACCAACAACAACAACAAAAACGCATCAAGAAATCTGTTCTAGATCACTTAGTCCAATTAAATGCTCTCCAAATATGTTGAACTACACACTGGCTGTGGAATTAAGCATACGATTTAAGCCAGTAAAGTTGTCATAGGTAGACTATTAGAATGAATAAAGCCTGCATAAGAACTTCTTGAGCACGTTATTTTAAACTGAGTTGACAAAGGAGATTACTTGTGAATTACAAACTATAGTTTTAACATAATGTTGATGGAATCATACATATAATAATTAATTAACAATGGCTTAAGAAGCCTGCTCATAATCCAAGATATCCTTATGTAAAAAATATCTAAATGAAATGTAAGGAGACTCTGTTCAGGTACATCTTTCTATTGTAAACATTATATAGATAATGAATTGATTCATTATGGATACATCAAGAGCCATTATAAATATATATAATTTCAGAATGAGATAAAGTATGTGTCATTAAAAAAAAAGAAAATTATGGCTTGAGAAACCTATGGCCTGAAGGTTACAAATTCATTCAACTTATCTCTACTTCCAGTCTAACATGTCAAGATCTTTAAGTTATGTTTCTTTGATTGTTTCTTTTAGAATATTTTAGCAGCCTGTTCTACTGCTAAAAACTGCACTGTGATCTTGACAAATGTAAAATGTCAGCTCTAATGTATCAGACCTATCAGCTCAATGAAAATAACTCAGAAGTATTGATCACCTAATGATTTCTGGTGTATTCATTAATGTCTATGTGCAGGTCTTCCTCTCTCCAGAGTTCCTGAAATGCTGATGACACATTAGTGTGTTGCTGATTGTTTATTAGAAAACTGATTAGTTACTGGATTAGTGTGTCAAAATGTACTACCTTTCATTGCTTGATAAACTTGAAAATTATGAATTTGTTTTTCATTATGAACACCTTGAAATCAATTCATTTTAGGCTTAGTTTCTCTAGCACAATGCAGTGATCTCTACTTAGATTTGATTTTTTTTCCTTTCTCTTTTCTGTACTAACAAAACTATTATATATATACATCATGTTTATATATATAATGTCTCTCTGTCTCTTATATCTCTCCTCCAAGTCAGGGTGGACTTCTAGTTATTTCCTGGACAAATCCCCGCAGCTTTCTTAACAAGATTTTTCAACCATAGTTTGGTTTGTTATAGTTTGTTATTGCCTTCTTCTAAGGGCAGAGAGAGTGACTTGCTTGAGGTTATCGAGCTGGTTTCATCAGGTTTCCATAGTTTAACCATTATACCAAACTGGTTCTCACCTTCTTGCTACTAAATTAATAAACAAATTATAATTTGTTTATAAATGAAAGGCACAGGTGAAAATTGAAAACTTACGAAATGAGCAACAAATTCTCCTGGATCATAAAGTGAAAGGTGCGCCTACATTAGTGTTACAATACCAAACCTATTTCAAGTAACACTTGAAGATTTAGGATTATTCATGATGCAACAAATAAATAAATCCTCCATGCAGCTAATATTCATAGTGACCATTCTATAGCTGTAGAGGAAGCGTGCATAAGTGCACTAAAGTGCCAATCATCACTGTCATTGTATTTTTGGCCTCTGCTAAAGAGCACTCTTATCGATCAGAAAGATCAGCAGTTCGAAT